GTAGGCCTACTAAGTCTTCTCCAGTGTGATTAGAATATGAAGTTAAATTCAACCCTTTTCCACAACAAACGGGACGCTTCTCCCACTCACACATAGGAAAACAAGCCATTTTCTAAGCCATCGGGGGCCAAAGGGAAAGAGCAACAGAAATGCTAGTCCAATAATGTTCTTGCTTTGCACTGTCTGAATTGCCTCTAGCAGACACACAGTGTATAGGCCTTGCACAAGGGATATTTCTGTATCTCAGAAATTTGCTTCAGAGCTCCTTGGGAGGATGGGGAGGGGGAAAGCCCCCAGCTGAGTGTATCCATATGGTACAGTATTAAATTTAGGGATTGCCTAGTGTTCATTTTAGAGTGAACACAGCAGGGCAGAAAGGAAGGTATAACCAATACTTTTAAAATTCACCAGTATAATGGTGTCTCGAAAAAAAAAAAAGCCTTGAACAACATTTTCCTCAAATATTATTATTTAAAAAAAGAAGAACAGGAGTACTTGTGGCACCTTAGAGACTAACAAATTTATTAGAGCATAAGCTTTCGTGGACTACAGCCCACTTCTTCGGATGCTACTCTGAAACCTGTCATTATTATTTAAGATTATCTTTCACTACATCTGTTGCAAAGCTTCCAAACTATTTATTTCTGAAAATGTAATAAAGTGTTTTATATAGATAGATAGGCTTAATCCTGCAACTACCATTAAAGTCAATTTGCTCGCACTGCACATATGTACTTTTAAAAAAAATCTACTTAGTCAGTTTAGTGTTTGCCTTAATGCACATAATATGTGCAGTCTGAATGGATTAAAGTTGCAACAAGAAGCTTAGCTTTTCATTCTCTGACTTTTGCAAGTTTTAGGCTGCATCCTGAAAACACTTAGGCTGTGTCTACACTACAGTGATTATATCAGCATAGCTATGTCAGCGTAGCTATGCAGGCATGACCCTGTAATGTAGATGCAGCCTACAGTGACAGAAGGGGGTTTTCCATCGGTGTAGGAACACTACCTCTCAAATGAAGCTAGCTACATCAACAGAAGCATTCTTCTGTTGAGACAGCTGTGTCTACACTGGGGCTAGGTGGGCATAGTTATGTCAGGGTTTTTGACACCCTTGACCGATGAAGGCCAAAATTGTGTGAACCTAACTTATGTTGGCATACAGCCACTGCAGTTATTAAATCGGTCGTGTGTGTGTACACTTGGCTCCTTGTGTCAACGGTGTGCGTGCTCACCTGGAGCGCTTGTATCGATTGTATTGTTAGTGTCGGACATTGTGGGATGGCTTCTGGTGGCCAGTAACAGTTGACATAAGCAACGCAGTGTCTACATTGACACTGAGTCAACCTAATTACCTCGACCGTGACCCTGCGCTGCTCAGGGAGATTATGTTACTAAATTGGTGTAGAGAGGCACTTATGTCAGCTGGAGCCAAATTTAAGTGATGACACTTCCGCAGCGAGGTTGATGCAAGGCAGCTTACATCGACCTAACCCTGTAGTGCAGACCAGGCCCTAGTTATGTCAACCTAACTTTTAAGGGTGGACCAACTTGACACATAAGTAGTTACACTAAACTCAAGCAACTTCTCACATCTGTGAAGTTACTCACATGCTTAAGTGTTTGCAGAAGTGACACTAACTTTGCAACCTCAGCAGTAACTTAGGTTTTTGCACTATAGAACTAAAGACTAATTATTTTACACACACATACACCTTAAATACCAAAACTGTGCTAATGCATATTAAATCTGCACACTCAAATCGCAGAATTCAGGGAATGCAAAAATGAAGGGTCCTACAGAAGAGTTAACTCTGCTCATTTGCACCTTCCTGTATGCTTTATTACCTACTTTTAATAATAAATCATAATATGCTAAGCGTCACATTTAACCAGAAAAACCGGAATCGCAAATACTGCATGTGAGCAATGTGGCTGATGTAAAGTTATTGCTGGAACTTTACTTTTTGCATTCCTGTGATTTCAGCTATGCAACCTTAAGATTAGATTAACAAACTTTTCTTTCCATTTAATTTCCCGGGTTTTTTATATGTAAAGAAAAAAAGGAAAAATTGTCTGTGCTTCATGTTATTAGCACGTAAATGGTCCTAATTAGGTGTTGGCATTCGCACTTTATTGAGAAGATGGGGTCAAGCAGAGGTAAATTCCCACTTTTCCTGCTGCTGTTGTTTGACTGGACAATTTTCTGCAAGGCTGGGTTAATAGGGCAACACCACATTGATTTACATTGTGATGTCTGTATCTTTCAATTTGAAAGAAAGAGAATTGGGTTTTTTAAATGAAAACCTAGAATTTTTAGAATATGGTAGGATATAGCCAGACTCTAAAATTGCAGGATCTGTTTTTTGTTTGTTTGGTGATTTGTTATTTTTTTAAAACATTTTGTTGCTGATTGAAATAAGACTTCTACACTCTCCTGCATGTAACATTTCTTGGAGCAACAGAATGCATTACTTAAAGGATTTGAATATATTGTATGTTTGGCTATAGTGTGCCATCAGTTTTTAAGCAGAACTGCCAGTTGATTGCAGTGGAGAGTTCTCCTTAACAATTAAGGGCATGATATGGCTGCCTGAGAGGTAAATTGCAGTTGCTCAACACTTCTCACTGTCTAGCCCTGTGAGAAGAAAGGATGGATTGTGATTGTGGGAGTGAATATTTACAAACTAATTTTTAAATTAAGTATCTTTAAAGAAGTCTATGTATTTAAAATATATTAAATTTCCATAAAATAAATGAGTAATCAGGCCTTTCCTAAACCAACAACAGAGAATTCAGTCTAACTCTGCAAGTAAGAATTTAGCTGTAGGCCTAAACTCAGCCATGGTGAAATCAGCTGAGTTGTGCCCCTTTACAACATAGTTAACGTTAGCCTATAGAGCAGGGGTCGGCAACGTTCGGCACGCGGCTCGCCAGGGTAAGCACCCTGACGGGACGGGCCAGTTTTATTTACCTGCTGCCGCGGCGGGTTCGGCTGATCGCGGCCCCCGCTGTCCGCGGTTCGCCGTCCCGGGCCAGTGGGGGCGG